ATCACAGAATGCTGACGCCAATTAAGTCAGAACCTGTGGATGCATATGAGTTGCATCAGGTAACCAAAAAGAAATTAAGTCCAGTTACGTCGAAAGGCAGCAAATCTTCCGTGATATCTACACTAGAAATCAAAAAGGAAGTCGAGGACATGGAGTACGACGAGATAAAAACCGAATTAAGTACAGGAGTGAACGAAGATGCTCTTCCTGAAACGGAAGAAGACGAGGAGAACGATAAGAAGGAGCTCGATTTGGACAGCATCGACATGATGCAGCTTCCAATCCAGTTGGACGATGGAATTGACATACTGGACGACGTGAAGTGCGAGGATGAAGGAGTTATATCGATACCAGACAAAGATATCACTGTTCCATCGAATGACGATACGATTGACATTAACAGCGGGGCAGAATTAATGCAAGAGACTCATGCTTGTTTCTTCTCATTATTAAGAGATGCATTCACCTCTAAGGGTGAGTATAGAATGAGCACAGTGGAAATGAGAGACGCTGTCACACAGTGGCAAGGGAATCCCATTTCACCGTTGAACGACTGGTATTCCCTAGCGTCTTCTTGGCCAGCGTTGGTCCCATTAGCCTTAGGATTCCTCGCTGGCGAACTCATATACAGTCAAGATTTAGGTGATCGACAAGAACGCGAAACAGACCTCGTTCCCTACTTAGAGAATAAAGGGAGCGGTGTCTACGCGTGGATAGGAGCTGGACGAGACTCAGACTCTCGCCTTGCAGACTTGTGCACAAAATTTTTGATGCACAAAGAGTTGCTAGGTACACCGGCTATCGCTACCTCTTGTTCCGTAGTCACTGTGAAGCAACAGACACAAATAGTAACTCAAACTAGCAGCAACAATGTTAATAATAGTTCTGGAAATGGAAATACAAATACCAGTGCTAGAGCTAGTAGTCCAGCAATAGAATCCATCAGCGTGGATGGTGGATCGATTAATACTGTGTCCGAATGGGATTCAGAAGGCAAGAGCGTATGCGTTACGCTGCACCTCATAAGGCATTTACTTACAGAATGCATGGTTATGCATCTGTTGTGGGTCCTGTGAAAGGCATTTATCAACACAATGTTGGTATGTTTACGTTTGTAAACTTTTTTTGTAAGATATGTGTGATTTATAATATAAACAATTATCATTGATATTTTGTTTCATTTTTCTGATAGCTTCTGGTTTGACGAAGGCTCGTGGACATTCATTATTGGTAGCAGATCGACCGAATTTTGTAACCATCTTGGCTTTAGTCAGAGACGCCACTGCAAGGCTTCCTAATGGTGAAGGAACTCGAGCTGATATTTGTCAGCTGTTGAAGGATTCTCAGTACATTAGGGAGCAGACAGAGAGCGACGATAAAGAGGGATACTTACATTCTGTGGTATCTGGTGCTTTAGACAGGTTGCACTATGAGACAGATCCCTGTGTTCGATATTACCCACGACGCAAAGAATGGCTTTACCTCCATCGAGCACGTTCAGAGTCCGAATTTGGTTTGTATTTGGAATATATTACTTTTATAATTTATGTCACAAGTTATGTCATACCTTTTCTTTTACAGAGATGTATCATCAACAATTACAAGGCGTAGCAAAGAACAAGAAAAATGTTGGTAGTATGTCTCGAAACAAAGCTCTTCCGTCAGTCATTAAGCCTGCCAACGTTAATAAAGAACAGTCGCCGAATAACTCTAAGGATACTACGCCTAAAAAAGAAAGAAAAACTGCGGCCACCACGCAACCTGTTACTTCCAGGTAAATTTAGAACTTTCTTTCTCACATGGAAAAAAGCTTTGAACACTTTTTAAATTCTATATTTTCGTCACAGAAAGGAGCAGAAGAAAAGTGAAGAAAAGAGTATCAACGATCACTCCGTTTCATCTGACCAGTCTGTTGTGGTTACAAATGTTTTAACAACAATTAGCGCCCCAGTGACTTCAGTAATTTCCGTGACAGGAACCAGCGTTCCCGTCACGACACTGCCAACCTCCTCTACCTCTGTCAGCACCGTGACCGTAGAAAAAGACGTGGCAGCCAGCGAAGTAAAACCGCAAATTACCACAACAGCTCCAGCCAAGAAGACAGCTAACATCGGTGGAAAGCCAGTCGCTGTTGTAAAGACCAGTGCTCAAAGTTTACTGCAGTCAAATCAGCAACATTTCCCGCATCACCAGATTCAAGTATCGACATCCGCGGGTCTGCAGACCATTCGATTATCCGGACACTCAGTGCTACACTCCGCCCAGTCGGTTGTTGCTAGCAGTGCTTCAAGTGCAACGAACGTGACCACCAATTTGACCACCATATTTCCACATGCCAAAGTACAAAATCAACAACAACAACAGCAACCGCAACAGTCGCAGCAGCAGCAACAAACAATAGTGACCAATCAAGCTGGAAAGAGTATTTTGCAGACTACCAATATAAAGCAACATCAATCTCAACAGCAACATGTATTACCTGGAAAGACCCTGTTAGCTTCTCAAATAAAGTTAGTTAGTTCAGGACAGATTAAGTCACTTCTCACGGGACACGGTCTTCAGGGCCAGACAATATTTATTAAACAGTCGTCACCGTCTGGTAATCAGTCACAGTTGCAGCAACAACACTTGAAGGTAGGATATTTTGGTTTATAATTTCATAGTTTATTAATATAATCTAATGTATTCTTTATTATAGCAGCAGCAACAACAACAACAGCAGATCCAACAACGTGTCGTAACCAATCAGCAGCAATCGATACAGACATCGGGTATGCAGCGTATAATCGCACAGATTGGGGGGAAACCGATCGCGGTGCAAATACAGCAATCGCCGCATCAGCAACAACAGCAGCAGCAGCAGAAAATATTGGCCAAGGTTTTAACCAGTTCTGGAGGTGGTCAACTCATTTCTGTGGAGAGTCTTCTCGCTCAGAAAGGATTGAAGTTGGCGACCACGACTAGCCACGCTAGCCAACTTAATAGACAAGGGAAACAAGTTATACAAACTCAATATCAAGTACGACTTATTTTAATTAAAATTTTTATTCGAATCTAAAATTTAAATTTTATCTAACAGTTTAATAAACAACTCTCATAGGTGGTATCCCAAGCACAGACTTCTGCAGGACAGTCCAAGATTATAACTAGCACTCAGCATCAATCCCAACCGCAAGCTCAAACTGTTAGAATGGTGACAGCTCAATTAGCTGGCAAGCCGATAGTTTTAGCCAGTGGTAACAAAAACGTTGGAGTTGGAGTCAGCAGCAGCGGAAGTGTAGTGCTTGGTAAACAGCAACCGTCGCAGCAGCAGCAAACGCAGCAACAACCTATCATTTTACCGAGCCAATTGCTTAATATCAAAACGTTGCACGGCTTGAAAGTGATACCAACCCCAGCTGGATTGAAAACCACGGGTGCTGCAGTGTACGCCCGAGTTATCGCACCAACAACCATAACCTCTTCTCAGTCAACAGGAAACCAGCAGCAGACCATTCAGACTCAACCATCGAGGAACAACACTTACAGTACACCTTGACAGAATAATTGATGTCACTTTTTCTTTTCATTTACTCTCATTCTCGATTTATTTTAATCTCTCTATAGTTTTGGAATTAGGCGAGGAACACTTGATTTATATGTATAAAAAAAAAAAACAAAGAAAGAAAACGTAATAAAAATTAGTAAGCTCGTATGAAGGGATTACGTTACGTTTTGTGTACTATATATTTAGGTTATTTTACTGAAACTGAGGAACAAAAAGAAATCGTTAGTTCATATGGTAACACGGTAATCGAAATCATTGGGGGACACTTGACTAAAATAAGAACACATGGTCATGATGCTGTTTTATATTAAGTGTCGAATTATTTACAAATGCATGGTACGATTTTAAATACAAAAAACACCGTCTCTTCGTTCTCTTGTATCAAGAAGATTCTTACAGCGTCGCATGTAACGTATAAATAAACCTTATTACGTATGGGTAAAATAGTTAAATTATTTTTTTACAGATTCTCTTTGCGCGTCTCTACGTTTGTAGGAAGTTATTTTACTATGAAATACCTAGGCAGCTAGATTAGCCACCGCGTCTTTGGTCTGTTTCTTGTGACAGAGGATATCGTTAAGAAGACATCTTCATCCATATATGTACAAAGTTTCACAGTATGGCGTCGCAGGATAAATGAAAAAATAAAGAATGAAAACAGACTCATACACGCGAGAGGTGCATTCACATTTACGAAAATTGCGAGCATTACTGTCGATTCATTCGATATCCTCTTCATTGTACCGTCAATGTGTTCTTTGAATAGGATACTGCGTAATTATGTCCCTTCTGAATTCCGTATATCTTGGAATATGTCTATTAAATTGTTCACACCTATCAAGTATCCATCCTCATGGTTTCCTACTTGCCATTCTGCATCATGACAAATTCTTGGCAGATGTTGTGGCAGAGGTAATGTTTTCGCGAAGTCAATCATCCAAATGCCAGCATTCTTTGCGTCATGAACAAATAATAAACTGGATCCAACGACTTCATGCGAAGCAAAGAACGGCGAAGCCTTTAATGTAGTCTTGATGGCCTTCAGACGTTGAATATACTTGGACACTGCATGAGGATAGCTTTCCACGAAACGTCTCAATGCTTCCGTAACCTAATAAGATTTTAACGTTACGTCCATAATATATTGGCTTGTGATTTTTAATAAATCATAGCGAACCTGCTCTCGAGTCCTCGTCGTTTTGAAGTCTTTTGAAGAGCCTCCATGGGCAAGTTTAATGCCCTCTACACGAAAACCTAGCGTAGCTGTACTAGAAATTGTTTCACGCCAAACCATGTACCTTGGCTTTGTGACGCCTTGCACACGACGTTCCTCGGTGCTTGGTGCTGTTGGGTCCACTTGCACCATTTTTTCGTACATGTCTTTTCGCAACTATAGCAGAGGATTAAGTTATTAAAGTTAGATGATTTATGGAGACCTTTGTTTTAGCGACTGAGATACGTCAAAAATTCTATAACTTGGCCAAATATTAAATAGTACCTCAAAGACATGCAGAGACAATTCTTATTAATTTACCTTAGGTCTTTCCTTAGCTTTCGCTAGCTCCGACTCAAGATATGTCCTGACTCCAACTTTGCAGTCCATCACGCATGGATGTTCGAAATCTCCAAGAAGATCTTGCAGCTGTAAGTAAGAGGATACCACTGTTCTCTTGCCTACGTCACTAGACCCATCTTTTTGAACAGTCTCCCCTGTATCAGTCTCTTCGGTATTTCCTTCTTCCGTTTCCTTTATATCTAAAACACCTTTAAATTCTGGCACGTACGGCCTCAAGACATCATTCATCAGCAGGCGAAAGCAGGCTTCCTCCTGGGGACAGAGTTTTTTTAGAATCGTCCCTGGAGTAGGTCCTGCTCTGAAATTTCCTTGATGACCCGCTAGTTGCACCTATATTTAACAATTGACAAACATCTTTTGGTTAGAAACTTTTGGTGAAATTCTAAATTGTAATTTTTTAAGGTTGACATCTGTCTAACATCAATTGGCTGCTCAATTTTGCTTGTGTTATATTATTTAACTTTTTTATTTAACTTATTTTTGGGAAATTCGATAGATTTTGGACAGATTATGATAGAAATATACTACTCACCCATGGGTACCTTTGTTTTTTGTACGTCTGGAAGAATGGCGTCCAGTGTACAATATTCCTGAGTTTCCTCCACCCCGACGACTGTAACCAGATAAAAAAAAGTTTATTTTACAACAAACCTTTTCTTCTTTCTTAGCAGTGACCCAAAATTAGATTTTATACACGTTTATGAATAAGGGAACAGTGGTCTTAAGAAACTTTATTATTTAATAAAAAAAAAAGAAGCAGTGTTCATTTATTTTTTAGACGTTTCTTTCCCGTTATTATGTACCTTCGGGATCTTTCTCTCGTTCGATTTATCCGTATGATCAGAGTCCCACTCGGAACTCAGATCATCTCCACTGCCATCTCCCCATTCTAAGTTAGTTTGGGGCACCTCCAGCAACCTCAGATATTGCTGATAGCCTGAACAATTCTCCAAGCAAGCCTCCTCTCCTTTACTTTGGCCTCTGATGCACTTATCACACTTTGTACTTTTACTCTTATTATCCTCCACATTGTCACTCACATTTTCTATGTTAATTCTTGTTTTAACTTTGTCCACTTTTAGACAACTGGCTTTCTTATAATCATTATTAACCTTATGATCAGGAAATCGATTCTGCAGTCTCTCAACTATAGAATTCTCATCACTTCTACAATCTCTATCAACTTCATTAGAATTATTCGTCTCAATCTGTGCCTGACTCAATTTTTCCTTTTCAGGATCCTGATTGTCATGACTGTCATTACTTTCCTCTTCACTACGGGCCTGCTCCTGGGATTGGGTGGCCAAGAAAGAGGGTGAAGGACTTCTAGAGGAAGATGTCGAGCGTCGATCGACCATACTCAAGGAAAACCTCCTCGAATGTCTTCTACTCCTTGATCTGATCATTTTTCTTTGATGTATGGACCTCTTCTCGCACTCATCCGAGTCTACACAGTCATCCAAGGCCGACTTCGAACAGACTACTATCTTTGGTATCGTTATCCTGTCATAAGTTTTCTGCATCTTCGTCCCAATCACTTATTAACGTCGAATAATGACCATTCACTATGATAAATTCTTCCGAATCTTAATATCTTTGACGTAGAATTATTTCTTCACCGAAATATATTATCTTGAAATTCTCACATAAAAGAGTTATCCATAGAGGTCCGTGTTGTTGACGCATCGTTAGGTGAACAGATTTCACAACGGAGGAGCGTTCGACGTAAACATCGCGTCGTGTTCTACTTCTGCGAATCCCGAATTGGTTGCTAATGAGGCACGCGCCAATGGAAATTCTCGGAGGGAGCTTTCACGCCTTTGCTCAGGGAATGCCCCCTGTCCCGTGACAATACCGAAGAACCTTCTTTTTTTTTTCAAAGTCTCCACACTTCCACAAGCTTCTTAGACGGCTCAGAATTTTTTACCTATTTTTTTCAACTTAGAACTCTAAAATCCTTGAGGAATTTTTTCCAAGTCTTTTATTAACTTCTAATTTTCTCCAAAATCTTCAGAGGTACAATACTTGTTTTTCAACTTATAAGAAAAGCAATATTTGTAATTTCTGTAATTAGCACCGAGACGAATTCACATTTTCACTTGGATAAAAAATGATGGCGGTCAGACTATTATCCTCTGTACAGCCGGTAATAGTCAAAGGCACTTTCTCCTTCGTGCAGTGTGTGTGGCTCGCGTCGCTACTGAGAACGCGGTTACAATCATCCTTCTGCGGTGGCTAACGAACGTGGTACGGTTAATTGGTAAGCGGTTCAACGCTGATAATTATCTTAATGACGAGCTGCGACCGAATCGAGATACCTGAATCGACTGATAGCCTCATCCACCCACGTCTTGCCTCTTCCTTGCCCGCTGGAAAGCGTGCCACACTGTGCTACTTTTTATTCCACGATCGTCGTGCGTTCCTCAATCACTTTGCAATTGCGTTACGCAAAATCCCACACCTCTTTAGTACATCTCCTTTATAAATAAGCATTCTAATTTTCTTACAGATTTTTTACTACGTTTTGTTGTTACGTAGTATTCATTGAAGTATACTTAAAATAATTATTACAAAAAAATAGGTTTGTTGATTAACTTTTTATAATTTATGTCAATAGAACTTCAGCTGCTATACGCTTTAAATATCCTTCAATTTCTCAATCTTCATTTCTCATCAATCTCTTCCTTACAAGACGCCACAAGACAGAACCTCTTGTTCCATGCATCTACATATAAATACAAGGAGATTATCCAGCTTCCAAGAAGCTTGTCAAACCAGTCAGTCGTTACTCGTTCCTTTACCGTGCGATTAATCACACTCCACCGATGCGGGTAACGGACCTTCCAGTATCGAATTTCAAACAGCCAGACACCATGACTGTTTACAAAAGAATCACAGTCAAATCCACAACGTTGAATCACCGTGGTCAAACTGTGTTTTATCAAATTTTCACGCACTTTCCGAAAAATCGTACACCGTTTACGCAACCTCGCTGAAAAACCAAGGTGAGACTTTCTAGTCGCGATACATCCACGTTCGTTTCACTCGCAAATTCCTCGCGTTGCTCGCATGCCATTGTCCTTCGTGCTTGCAATCACTATTGCTGTCTTTATTAGGAATAACGATCTACCATTAACGGTAGTAGCTTAAAGCGCAGCCTTTTATTCAGTAAATTGGTGTACTACTTCTTAGGACATTTAATTCTCCGGAATATCTCTGTGTCATAAAGTTTTTATGTAAATTAGATTGAGGTTAGAGTTCTTCAAATTAATTCATTCATCGTGAACTTCATTGGAAATGTATCTTTCGGAAGTACCTTTGTGTGATGATCGTTTCCTATGAATTAGTCAAAGGTGGAATTCTTCAATTTATAATTTTTTGCAAATCAACTGACTCATCAAAAACTTCCTAGAAAATGCAATTTCCAGAAATACTACTGTACGAGAAATTTTTCTCGTAAACTAGATACAAATGGAATTACTTAATTTGCAATTTCTTCTAAATTAATTTACTCATTAAGAGTTCCATGAATTCGAGTAAATTGGCATTGCAGCATGGTTCACTGGAACACAGGCTGTCCATTTGATTACTTTAAGCGGCGTGGCAAGATCGTGAGCACGTGCTCCTGGTCTATCAGCCGCTCTTACATAAGCGATACGTCTGCGGTGTTTCTCTGGACCGGGCTATCAAGCGAAAATTGCTTCCGCGAGCGAATCTTATCGCACGTCCGCTCCCGCGGATCTAAGTGACTTCCTCTTACGGTGCACACACCGATAACCATTAATATGTTCACACGGATGCGTGATGCAACGATCGTTTTCAGATTCCACTTCTATGATTCTGTATTACCTTGAAGAATTTAATAGTTGTACTTTTTGAATTAATATTTTTAGTCTACTTGGAAAAAGGATAATCTATTCTGTGATAGGTTATAAAATTTATTATCTTCAAAGCAAGATGATTTCAAGATTTTCAATTCACGTTAAATTCAGCACACTGCACACCTATCTTGGAAAAGAACTTGACTAGCATCTCGAACTCTTCAATAACACAGAAGACTCTTTTTACTTCACCAATTACACAATCACCTACACAATGACTATCAACTTTCTCCTCTGACTATTTCTTTCTTCTTCCAAATACCTTTACCGTATAAATCTCTTCCTCGCACAACCACAACCATTTGGTTAATTGATCGAATACAATAATTCTGCTATACACACTTTGAAACCAACATTTTTATTTACGGAATAACGATCATCGAGCAATATCGTGATCTTCGACCTCGAGCAACGCCACGGCGATCGTTACGATCTGAAATCGATAAATCGATAATCGAATTCAACGGAATCGCGATGGACACTACATTTGCTGTTTATTTCACGAAAAGAATGGCTATTGGAGAGTGGAGCAACTTTTTCTCGTTGAAAAGAGGCGTAAATTCAGCGAAGTGGCAAACCAGTAGACTAGATGACGATCGAAATGCGTCATCGACTAATTAACTGGCGCTCGCGAGCGTCATTAGCGGAATTATCAGGAGTGGACGAAACGATGGGACGATCTGGAGTTCGACGGGCATTGTTGGTTGACCGGAAGTAACGTTCTCCACGGGCTTTTCCATTAATTCCAATCGCTTAATTCACAGTGATAAAGAAAACTTAATTGTTTACATGTACATACTACAAATAACATATTTGCCTCATTCTTTCTCTTTTTATTCAGTTCAAGGTTGCTCCGAATTTTTTCAAGAGGTTAAAATTTTCTCAAAATTTTTTTTCTTATTATACTAGATTCTATATTTTCAGATGAAAAATGACAGTACCAGGTATTAGGTAACATTTATTATAAAAAGAACCATCTGAATTCAATAACTTTCAATTTTTAAGGTTACACGTAACTACATTAACAAATAATCCTCTGTTACTTTACAGCCTTCAGGTTGACTGAAATATTTCCATTTAAGATATAGGCTCATAAAAAAGAAGATTTGCAAGGAAACGTGTAATTTCGATTGGATTCAACGTTGCTCATGAACTTCTCCTTTCTGCCACTGGATTCTCTCCGTTTCTCTATTAAGAACATCTCCCACGCACGCACCGCATCAAACAAGCGCAAATGATTTTAAACGGGACGCTTAATTATTCAATTTCACGTGTTCGACGATAAACGATGAATTCGAGCGCGCTCGTGGCTGCTTGACACGCTCAGTTGCGCAACCCGTGCAGAAATTGGGTCTCGACGCGAGTTCAGCTCGTGCACGGTTGACGTTTTATGGAAATTTTACGATATTCATAAATTCGTGCCCGTTATTATCAGGGTTAACACGCGCGCCACCGCTTTCTCCTCACGATTAATATCGTCCACAATAATTGTGATGTAACACTTGAACCATAAACGTTCTCTGTATAAATTTTGGAATTTTTCTTTAAAACAGTGTACATTTGTTTTTTTACGTACACTTCTTCTTTTAACTTTTTATGAATTATAAGGGGAAGAAAATATTAAGGAGGTATTCCCATGTTTTGGGACTAAAAATCGATATTTTCTGTTTAGGTATAAAATTTCTACGATTCTTCTAGAAAAAGTATGTCAAAGAATTTTCCAGAAATCTTC